TTAAGTCAATGTTGCTGCTGAAAAATTTTTCCTCCTTGATTTGTATGTCCAGCAACATGCCAGATTAGGAATCTGAAGCATTTGAGAACTTTCCCATCCTTTCCGTTACTATTCAAGCAGACAAGTCTCCAGTCTAGTTTTCCATATAGTTTTGCAAATGGCTGTGCTAGCACAGGTTGATGATGGAGCAGAGATGACTGGTGAAAGCTGAAAATAAGCTGCTTTTGCAACAGCAGTGCTGGCTTGTGGTCACATCAGACTGGCCCAGGACAGGTAGGTTACGTAGCAGGTAGTGCCCCGTGCTGTCATTGGGACACACGGGGTTCCTACTTCTGTCTTTTTCTGGCTCATGGCTAAACAAATGCTCAGTGCTCAGCACAGGGCAAAAAGGTCCCTGGCTTTGCCTTCAGAAAGGCTGGTGGGACTCTTGGGAGAGTCTCACCAACTCTTATCTTTTGCTGGTAAAGGAGATATGCAAAGTGAAACCCCAATATTTTAATATATTAAATTCCTCAGCAGCCAGCTGGCAGAGCCCCTGCAAGGTGAAGGCTCACAGGCAGAGAAAAGACAGGTGGTGTTGGATCTGGGGCTGGAGGGCAAAGAGAGCTCATGAGTGTCTGTAAGCCACTGCTGCTGTCATTGCTGCTTGTACGAGCTGGTCACCGTCCTGCGGAGCTGGGAGTGAAGCGGGTCTCTGTTCCCCTGGGCATACAGAGGTTCTTCTCTGCGTCCCACAGAAGGGCGAGGGCTGCGTGGCACGCCAGCTGTGCCGGGGGCTGTTTTGCGCGGCCGCTGGGCAGCGGTGGCGTGGCTGGGTGTCCCTGGGAGCCTCAGTAGGTAAAGGCCCATGGAGCGGCCCGTGCCAGGCTGGGGGGCTCGCTGCTTGGATTGTTGTGGGGACAATGCTGGCACTGTGGAGCTGCGAGGCTGACCCGCGGAATATGTTGCAGAACAGTGCTTGCTGTGTCTCTGTCTTGGCATGCCTTAGCAGGCTCTGTGCTGGAAGCACTGCCTGCGGAGCTGCCAGGAATAGTCCCCCCTGGCAGGGAAGTCACTACAATCACACTCGGCCTCAGTCTTGGAAAGGTGCGGGGTCAGTGTGGGGTCTGGAGCCGTGGAGCAGGTCTTCAGGAAGTTCCCTCTCTGCCCTTGGCCGGTGTAAGGAGCTTATGGAGAAAAGTTCACCACCAGTGTGCTTGGTTTTATAATGTCGTTGGCGTCACGGTTGGTTTCGTTACTAGTTGCTTCATTGGGGTAGCAAGAATTTGCCTGATAGCCTGATTAAATGACTTACTTCTAAACCAGCTTCCTCACAGGGATGTCGAATTGTGGGTGGGCTAGTCTGAGAACTGTGAAATGTTCTCAGCTGGGAAAGCCAGCGGTGTCTTCATATTCTGAGCAGTTCTGCATATGTAATAGAGCTTAGAAATGGGTTGGTGGTTCTCATATTATGGCACGCAGATGAACTGCACGAAAATAAGTCCTTCGGAAGACAGCAGCCCTTAGCATAGTCTTAGCCAGGATTAATTTTCAGAACAAGAATGAAGAATAACTGTCATTTCTTTGTATAGTAAGTACCAAGAATTGCTTTTAAAAGCACTATTTAAGTCAAAGGACAACTTCTATGCACAGGCATTTTCTGTGCATGCTTCCGTTAGTTCTGAGAACAAATTATTAATTTTATAAAAGTACTGTAAAGGAGGAAAATGGTTTCATTTTTATATGCACAGTGAAAGGTAGGTAAAACGTTAATGCATAAAGTACACTCCAGCTCCCAAAAAATTTCCAAAGTGTGGGGTTTTTGTTTTGGTTTTGGCTGATACCGTTTGCAAAGAACATGGCACTGGCGCCATGCTTGGTGGTGGAAGTATGCAACTTGCGTATTTAAAAGGTGTTTTAGGAGAATCCAGTTTTATGTGTATGGAATCCACTGGATGGTTGAGCTGTAGATAATCACTCAAATTTCAGTTAAAAATACAAATGGGTGTGCAGATTACTGTCTGGCATTTTGCATTATATTCAGTATGTTGAAGTAATCTTCTTTCTCAAACTTCCACGTGATTCTGTCACCTGCTGATTGTCTCGAGTCCAGATTAATGCATTAGAAAGTGTTTACTTGGAATCAAGGTGTTTAGGCTGCTTGTGAACTGTCCAGTGCCAGATTTGAGGAAGCAGTTCTATTTTATGCAATGCCTTTTATAGTTCAGGGAGGCAAAATATTAAAAACCCCAGGATTTTATTACGACAAGACCCACTTCAGCACTACGAACTTATTCCTGGAGTTTGCTTGAGGGCTGCCTGTGTGGGACACGTGGGATGGGAGCTGGATGTTCCTGAGTTGCTCGCTTCAGTCCCACATCGCAGGTACTCCTGGGCTTGCTGTGCTGGACGCTTTGCATTGCTCTTCTTCCAGCTGCATCCCGAGGAAGGGAAGTATGAATATTTGCTGCCTTGACAATGAGCAGGAGCTTTCCCAGGCTGTATCTGTGATACCAACAGTGAGATTTTAGGATATCCTGCTGCAGATATCTTGAGAAGTCAGGAAATATCACTGGGTCTGCAGTGGGTAGATCAGTACCCTATTGCACTTCTCTCGTGCAGAACGAGAGGACTTGAATTCTGGCTTCTCCCTTGCACAGAAGCAGCAGATAGCTGCCCTAATCACTGCTGCAGCGTATCAGTAGGGTTATGTTGGGTCATGGTGTAGAATGGGTTTACATATATTTGATTTCTTTTGTTTTGTCTAAGGGCCTTCATTTTTTAATAAAAAAAGTCCATGGATTATTCCAGGGCTGATCCACATATCATCATTGTTTTATCTGTTTTACCATTCTTTCTAACACTTACAACCTTGTTTTGACTACTGTTTAGTAATTAGGATGAAATGTAATTGTAATTATCCTAGCTTCCAAAGTTGCCACTGAATGGTGACTTGTACAGAAAACGTTGTTCTTCTCAGAAGCATGTGCCGATTTATGGATATAAGATTTTATGAACATCAGTTCATAAGTGTAGTGCATAACCCTCGACGTGTTTACACCCAGCTGAAATTCCATTCCCTCATTTTGCTTTTCTTACACGTTTGGCGTTCCTGAGGATTCTGTTAAGGGCGAAGTTCCACTATTAATTCTCAAATCCAAACAGGACACAAAGTTTCCTTTGCCAGTAGCTCAGAGTTGGGTGAGGCGGTGTTTCGCCCTGAAACTGAAGCTAGTACCAGGACGTAGACCTAGTGCATTCATCCGTCAGTTGTTTCTTCTGTCTGCTTACGTGCAGTCATTAGCTAAAGCTAATGTGCTCTGATCTGTATTGTCTACCACCTGAAGGCCATTTATATAAACTAATTGTAAGTGCTTATTTACACGGCATATTTGCAATTAACTGTTTTCATCTTTCTGGATGCTTTTAAAGCTTCTGATGCACAGCCTTGAAACTAAAGGTCAAACAAGACTGAAATCAATATAAAGATGATTTTAAGCTTTATAGATATATGTGTTGGTCTACTATGAGCAAATAAGACTTCTGTTTTTCACTCTTACTGGGGGGTAACATTGAAGTTATTCATGGTAATTAACAAAAGCAGTTGGTTTCCCATTTCTTAAAAGCTGACTGCACAAGCATACAATTTCATCTAGAAGAGCAGTCTTTTTCAGTGATGTTTAATATTAAATTTCTTTAGTAGAAGATCATATTTGTGTTTATGTATTAAAAAATATTTTTATGCGTCTGTCAAGTGGTACAATTTTCTCTAAATGGCTTCTAGATTGGCAGTGGAATTGTGTGATTCTCTAACTGTCTTGTGTTGTTAGTTTTTATTTGCTGACATACATTTACTTTGGAACTATCACATCATTCAGCTGTCTTTGTTCCATATCAATAATCTTGTTGAAATTAGGCCTTTTAATTGGCTTTCAGAAAAGCTTAGTGATCTTTTTTTGCAGTACAAGACTAATGCAGTTAACATTGCTCCTTATTCTTTTCTGTTACTTCAGCACAAGTGGCTGTAAAACTGCTGGGGGTTGGGCTGTGGCTCCTGAGCCTCTCCTGTCACATTGTACCCTGAGAGTCTTGGTGGTTCTCTGCTTTCTCCAGTTATTGGGGCTTTCTCTTTTGAGGCCCCCAAAACTCTAGATACAGTTTCATGAGTGCTAAGTAGAGGGTGAGACTATTTCTCTTGACTTACAGGCTGAGTTCTTGTTGCTTTGCTCCTCAAGGTCCCCTCTTAATGATTTCTCTGTCCTCAAGTATGTCAGCCCTGCTTGTGCCAGCAGAGAACTTGCTGAGGTTGCTTCTCTCCCATTGTATGGGTCAAAGAAAGTTTTGGTGTAAGCTACGGAGTAAGGTTTGGTCTGTCAAGGGTAGGAAAAAAGGGGAAAACTAATATTTATATTTCTGTGCTTTAAACATGTAAGTACGTTATATTGGGAAATCCATCTAAATAAAGGTGGGTTTTAATTCTCCTGCTGAAATTTTTATCAGAAATCCTCTATCTAGTGGTTTGCAAGATGTAATAGAGAAGTAACTGCATGTGGTTTAATAAATGCAGATTGCAGCTTATTTTGTTTGTTTTTTTTTTTTTTCTGTACTGAGTGAACCTTGACTTCAACTGCCATATTGCAACTTAACTATTATCAGCTAAGGCATAGGAAAAACAGAGATTAGTGTTATTAACGTGCAAGACGGTATGCTGAAAGCAATTCCACATGTTTGTGGAAAAAGGAATCTCAATGCAGTGAGTTGAGAACAAATCTCTACAAGGCTTTTTGAGCTGTTCATTGACTGTTGTACAGATTTTGTATGCTGCAGTCTTGAATATAAAAAAGTTAACTTACAAGCTATGTATTTTATATTCCTAAATGGTATAACAGCTTTAGAAATAGCTGTCATAAAGATGTCATTCCGTTCTCTGTTTGTATAATGCTAAGAAAAAGAATTCACGAATGCTACTGGAGAAATGGACACTCAGGATAACACACCTGCCTTCTCTCTTCCCATTCCAGGGCATATTCCCTTGTGGACTCCAGTCAAGTGTCTACTTTCCTGATTTCTATTCTCCTCATAGTCTATGGCAGTTTCAGGTAAGATTTTTCTTTAAGGCTTTTATGGATCTTTTCTTTTTCAAATAAAAATGTGACTACAAGTGACAGTTTATAGTTTATGCCTTTTGTTTTTGTTGTATCTTTGTTAGAATGACAGCTGATGTAAATGCAGTATTTCTTGGTTCTGAAAAGGAAATAGAGAAGGAAGAAAAAGAAGCCAGTTGAGGTTTCTGAAAGACATAATTGTATGACAAGTTGCAAGCACATATAAGATAGCTGTGAAGTCAATCCTTGAAGACAGTTCTGTAAAATTGTGTTTTGGAGGGTATAAAGGACCTGTTGAGAGATATATATGGATGTAATGTTGTCAATAGCAGGCTTTTAGATACAGTGTTTCAGTGTTTGATTCAGAGCATTCTTACTCCGATTGCAACCAAATCTCGTAAAATAGATATTCCTGAATGTAACAGCACAACAGAGAAGTGAGAAACACATCAGTGCTGAATTCTAGCAGTGCCTGACACCAACTGCTGATTAGGTTTGAATCTTCAAAAAACAAATTTGCCCCACTTCAGGGGACTTGAGTATGTTTAGAGAAAACTTTGTTGTCCTGCTAAGCTTGCATCTTGTATCATACCCAGCTTTTAATGTAATGGCATATAAGGAAAGAGGTTCATACTGACACATCAAAAACAATTTACAACTTGGAAATATTATTTCTTTGAAACTTAAGTTCAGGATGTTTTTCTTCTCCCCTCTTTTTTTTTTTTTTGTTCCTTTGAAGAACATTGCTTCGTTTGAAAGGGTTGTTAGGCACTGGAACAGGCTGCCCAGGGAGGTGGTGGAGTCACCATCCCTGGAAGTCTTCAAAAGACGTTTAGATGTAGAGCTTAGGGATATGGTTTAGTGGGGACTGTTAGTGTTAGGTTAGAGGTTGGACTCGATGATCTTGAGGTCTCTTCCAACCTAGAAATTCTGTGATTCTGTGATTCTGTTTAACAAGTCTATGATAAAAAGCCATCCATATAGTATGAATTCTCTGCACCACGCTGAATATTCCTGAAATAGATGATAACCATGGTCATAAGTATGATGTAAGCTGCAGCTATTAGGATAAGAGGCTTTAAATCCCAGTCATAAGTTAAGCAAATCATAAAATGAAAGAGCCAATTTTTGGTAAGAGCTGTCTGTTTTTGCTAGTGAGTATTAGGTAACAGCACTGCTGCTTAAATTAAAATAGAAAGCTTCAGGAAGACAAAATATAGAGAAACTGCAAATAAATAAAAGGTTGCATTTAATACCAATTGGCAGTGTTTTTTTTCTTTTCTTAAAGTTCTGAGTCAGTCTAGCATATAGTTGAGGGGCTACTTCAGTCTTTAATTTAATTCATGCAGTTGAGTAAAAAGGAACTATGCATATGGCTACAAGACCTGTAGCTTTTATTAAAACCAAAATTAAATTGAGAAAACATAATGCAATATGAAACAGCAGGAGTGCCTGAACGTAAATTGCCTCTCCTCAGAGCTTCTAAGCTTTTAAGAATTTTCCCTTGCTCTTTCCTGTCCTGTTGCTATGCACACGTGTTCTTTTACCATCTTATCCTGTGATTACATTTAAAACCGCTCATTACAAGGACTGAGCTAGGACTGACTTAAACTCAAAAGATTCTAACCTATTGGATGACATGGTAGAATGACGATGGATACAAATCAGTTGAGGAAATGCCCTCTTCTAGCCTACTTCTGCATGTGTCCTAAGGACTCCAAGACATAAGCTATTGCAGACCAAAATAGGGCCCGATAGTTTTGAAACTGATTTCTAATGAACGGCCTACATTTAGCTTCTTTAGTAGATGCCTGAGCCGAAACCCACAGTTTCGATGATGACTTGGGTAAACTTCCAAGCTGTTTGGTCAACGAGTGAGGTCAAAAGCAGTTATTTACAGAAGATTGTGAAGTGCTGTTAACAACAGCGCCCAAGATGCAATTCAGATTTGTAAGAAATTTAAGTGTGGTGCTAAGTTGCAAAATGATGCTTATCTGGAAATTCCCGAAGTAGTAAAATAAAAACTTCTGGCAGTGGGTGGATTTTCTTAGAATAGCAACTTGCCGGAAAGACAAAAGTTACTGCTTAGGGTGCTCGTTCTCAAATGAAAACAACATCTTCATCTAGATTTGAGTGCTTCATCTCAAATGGAGCCGTGGTAAGGCAAAAAGAAAATGGCACTCCTCACATAACCTTCTTGTTGTAGAAAGTGGGCATGGTTTCCAATTTCAGTCTGAAAAGAAACAAGTAGTTATTGTAGAGTTATTGTGATACTGCTGGCAAGTGACATAAACAGAAGTTCAATAATAGGATCAGAAAGAATTGGGTGGGTGAGTCATTAGGATAAAATCCTTGTGTGTGGTGGATCTAATCTAATGCAGGAGGTTTCGGGGGAACAAAGGAAAGCCTGGTCCAGTGTCCTTAGTCATACAAGTAGCATTTGTCCAATGACAAATAAATAAATAAAAACCATACCAAGCAACAAACAAAAAACACCAAAACACTCAGAAGAATGTCTAATAGATCCTGGGAAAAGTCTGCCTCCAGAATGAAGAACAGTATGCATTTGAGATCTCACTTCTCTTAATGTGGCTGGAAGAGCATTTCCTTCCTGCATTTGTGCAGGGTCAGGAATTTTATCTTCAAGCCCTTCTAAACATCTCCCATAAATGTTCTTACCATCTCTCAGCCCTTGTACTTGATATGCTTTGTTGTTGGCTGTCAGAGAGGCAAGTATAATCTTTCAAACAGTTACAAGATGTACACAGCAGCATGCAAATGTTTGTTCTAGTTATGGATTTTTAAAGAGGTGAGCTTAGCTGGAAATGGGTTGTTTCCTGGGGGTTCTTCCCATACAGTCACCTATTGTCCAGGTGCTTTGCTGGGACTGAAGTGCTGGAGTTACTTTGTAGGCATGTAGCAGCTAAATCTTTTTCTATCCTATCACATACTCAAACATGGTTATGTAAAGCCTGATTTAACCCATACTCTACCTGTTCCAGTTCCTGCTTTTAAGCTAAACTGTTACTGGATCCTCCTCGATCGGAATGAAGCCCAGTTTTGTTTTGAAAGTATTTGCAGAGGATTGTTTGTCCTGCTTTTAAATAGTTTTTGTTTGTTTGTTTTCAGTGCTGCAATATTTACTGTTTATAAGGTGGTTTGCTCTCCACTTCAGAAACAGGGACTGCAGGTCCTCACAGATCCTTGCTGTCTTCATTAGTTAATGCAGAACTCAGGTGCAAGCTTTATCTCCTGCCTGCAGATGAAGACTGACCTTCCCATACCAAAGAAACTCCGGTCTTCCCATATTAAGTATTGCATGCTTGAGAGCCCTCGAGACTATAGAATATATCGTGGTACTGAAGAACAATGCATATTGGTTTTATTTTCCTATTTTTCCCCACTCTGTCTTGCTTGTTTAAGTTGTAAGTTTGGTAGGAAAAGGTGGTCCTCTTTGGTGGTTCGTAAACAGTGCCAACAGCCACGATGAGTCCACCTTAGTTACTTAGCAGGGTGTCGTGCATGTGTGTTTGAGCTGAATGTGAAATTTCAAAGTAGGTGTAAGAACCCTAGATTTATCTCTATGGCAGTGGCTCGAAATGCTCAAAGAAAACGTGTGACTAATTCTGGTAATAGTGTGTGGAGTAATAAAAATAGCTTCTAACTAAGAGAAAAGGTGTGCCTGGAGTTCACAAGCATCTGTAGCCACAGTGCTGGCAGGGCGGACAAGGGGTCTGGAGAGCCAGAAAGATACCTGCACGCGTGTGAAGCACCTGCTGGGGGTGAGATGCTCACATCAGGGCTCTGGGACTTTGGCATGTGTGGCTCTGCAGGCGTAGTCAGGAGCTGGTAATCCATCTAGTCAGTGAGAATATTTTTCCATGGACTTTTTGCTACTATTTCCCCTGTTCTTATTCCTACTCCAGATCGTGCATTGCAACTCGTCATTTAATCTCACAGGAACACTTTATAAGCCACTGTGGCGATGTTAGATCGCGTAACGTGTTCTAGCCTCTCTCTCCATAATACGCACGGAGATTTGATTCATTTGAATTAAACTATCTGAGCTCAGTGTCTGACTGTAATTTTTTATGTAGAGCAGTTGAAATCTGGCAATTCTCACAGTCCCAGAGCTGTTCATAAGGGTGACTGTCTTCACTGAGCAAAGCGAGAAGGAACTTCTCAATATATTGCCTCTCCTGCTGACTCTTCAGAGATATGCTTGCTTTCAAATTTCTTCCTTTGTTTCATAAGAATATTTTCCTGCAGGGTTTCCCCGAAGCATTATTGCAATGGAAGTGATCCATAGCTGAATCTGAACTTTCATGATAATAATGTGCCAGCAGCTTACTCATTGCGTTGGCCTCAGCGTAACCCTACTGAGTGCTTCCCTGTGGGAGGCTTGCTTTGAACCACTGTGCTAGAAATCCTACCAGCTTGAACTGCTGGGGCCCCCAGAAGAGACAACTGTAGTTTATTGCCTGACAGGAGATGCTGAGTGAATGCTGCTTTTGGAATCCAGGCGCAAACTTGAACAAAAGAGCAAATGCTTCTCGACTTGCTGTTTCCTTCCAGCACAGTAATTTTCAATATGTCTTGTTTTAAAAATACAGTTTTTAACTTTCATGGAAGATGTTTTAGTGATCACTTCTCAATTTTTATCATGTTAGTGATAATTTGCAGCAGAGGTAAGGGCCAAGTCGTAAAATGGGTGCTGATGATTCAGAAGTTGGTTTGGCTCACCAACTGTGTTGCTAAGTGACCGTAATTTCAAGGTTTATGCTTAATTTTGAAGTGAGGATGTTTACAGGTGATAATGTAGTAATTGCTGATTCTATTGAAATGAAAGCAAATGGGCTGAAGTTGTTTGTGAGCAGTAGGAATAATAGTTTATTTTCAGTTTCCTTTGCTGATAGCTCCTTAAATTATGAGGAGTTCCCCATTGCCACAGTCAGGATGATGGTGTGATGCTCTTGCTAAGCTGAGCTAATTTACAGAAAAATGAAATGCTGCTCTGAGGAGAAAAAAAAAACAACATTTGTTTGGCTGAATCTTGGATCCAGCCCTGGAGGGTTTTCATCCCTCTCTTGAATTTTTATATCTCGAGAGGAAAATTTTATGGCTTAATGGGGATTAATGGGGAAAAAGGAAATGTGAATGAAAGATAAAAGATGACAGACATCTTTAGAACAGATCTGTTTGTTAGAAGCTGTGTTCTCTGTTGACTCTTTGAATCTTAGATAACTTTTCAGCTGACACCCAGGTTCTGCGTAGCAATTCTGTAAGTCCAAGCTTAAAGCTTCCTCGTATTTTATCTGAGTCCAAAACCGGTTTTAACTTCATACTGGGAGCACGTGCATAATAGAAGCAGAACAACAACATAATTTTAAACTGGAAAGCCTTTTTTTCTTTTTAATTTTATACAGCAAAACTACTCAACCTCGCTTTCTTTAATATACCGTATCTGCCTAGATACTGCAGACCCATATGTGCTTGATTTCAGGCTGTATGACTGTGACACAGAACTGCTTACCTCTACGTTGCAGTAGGACACACTAAAATGAAATAACTTTGATACAATCTTTTACACAATTCTGTAGGTGTTTTATTTTTTCCTTGTCTGTCAAATTAATAGAATTTGCTTACTTTTCATAGTGCAATCGCTTGCAGCTCAACTTGGAAAACAACAAAAAAAAAAAGTCGAATGCCTGTTGACCTGGAAGTTGTATCAAAATACTTGATATTTGCTGCTGCTGCAGTCTGAAGGGAAGAGCCATACTATGCTTCTGATGGTTCTCTGTAGCTTATTTGAGCAAATAAATCTACAGAGAAGTCATGGACAACGTGCATGCATGTTATGATAATGAGAAACTATCATGGTAATCTTGATTGCTAATATTTTTATATAAAACAACATCGCATTTTTACTATGTTGTTTTATATAAAAACAGCATAGAATCACTTTTGCCACAGCTCATCACTTTGATGCAACTTCTAAATTACATTCTAGCAAATTTTGATTAACTTTCTGAATTTCATTTAGGATCTGTTTTGGACAGCAATTATTTTTATGATTAAATTCTGTGTTATTTTGGAGTCTTTTTGGTATATATATCAAAATGAAAAGACAAAGAGCTGGGTACACTGGGAAATGTCAGCTGCTATGGATGAATTAATTTGTACTATTTATTCAGAGCTTCCTCTAGATATCTGAAATGCCTATATGTTTATTTTCTAGACTTTGCTGAAGCTATTTCAATTAGATAAGAACTTGTATTCAGCAGGGAATTACTTACAGGCAAATTTTGGTCATCATTCATTACAAGAGTCAGAGGAAGGAAGCAATGAGTATGGTTTTAAACATGAAACCAAATAGTTAAATTTGAATGAAAAGTGTCAAAATGGTAACTTGGAAAGAGTTCAAATACATCAGAGAATTGAAACTTTTACTGTATTTCCATCATGTTCTACACTTCCAAGCAACACAGATAAGTATCTTCGTTGTGGTTTGTTGTCAACACTTAGCAGTTCAGACACTACAGTGAGTAGTCTCAGTATTGGACCAAGTGTGATTCTGTACCTTGTCTCTAACAGTGGGTGTATTTTTTTTTTAATTTCTGGCACGTATTTTTTTTTTCTGTTTTGTTTTGTTTTTTTAATAACCAGCACTTAAAAAACAAGACTTTTCCAGGGAGAGAGTGCTGAAACAGTAGAATGGTAATGAGACCGTAGCTGATAAACCTAAATAGGAGTTTGAAATTTGCCTATTAAGTTTGCTTTTTTTTTCCTGCAGGTCTCTTAACATGGACTTTGAGAATCAAGACAAAGAGAAAGACAATAGCAGCGCAGCTGGGTCTTTTAATGGCAACAGCACCAATAACAGTAAGGGTTAGCTTTGCTCCTTATCTTTCTTTCATCACTTCAGTGTGTTGCATCTTCTTTTGTTTCATCCGGTCATGTGTTTCATGCTTTGTAGATTCACCTGATATAATTGAACTGTTTAGTCTAGGCACTTGACATTTTGCTTTGCACTAATACTGCTATCTAGTTCATGCTCATGGAAGCTAAATTTAAAACATCAGTGTAGTGTTTCCATAATGCATAGAAATTGCATGCTGCGCAATTTGTCAGGTCTTCCTGGAAACAGAAACTGCCTTATTTTTAAAAATACAGTTATGGAAGGGAATGTAATTTCTCTTTGTCTGCTGGTTGTCACTATGACATGACGTATTAGCCTGCCTGTAGACAACTAAAGGTTTAATCTCATGGTATGCTAATGAGTCTATACGGATGATTCAGCTTTATCAACACAGAAATTGAAGTATAGATTTCATGTGGCTTTGGGTGACTCATTTAAAATGGACAACAAAGTATGTGTCTACACACAATCTATTCAGAGTGGGGATTAACTTGTCAGCTCTTATGCAGTGATTGTCCCCTCTCTTACTGTAAAAATAGATTCCAGACAGCTTGGCCATTTGAGATGCACTATTTTGCAAGCAAAAGCATGCATGTGAACAGTTGGAGTGGACTGTGTTGTACACAATGTGCTGTAAATTCATGCCTGAGTTTAATTTACAATAATTTATGTGGCTATACTCTGAGACTAGGAGTCTAGAATGAAGTTTCAGCGTTTTCAGAAAACAAGACTGGGACATGCGGGCAGCCCTGCACACAAAACCTTGAATGCTAGGGTTGCTTTGTTTAAAATGAGAAATACAGCTTAAAAATTACTACATAATAACTTACAGGGTGTTGAATGTGTCATGCATTTTTTGCTTTTTGTTTTTAATTCACTATCTTGCAACTTACATTGTTATCAGATGACCGTTTCCGTTGACAGCACAGTTACAGAAAGAGGTGGTTAGTGATTCAGCAATGAACAGTTGAAGCTTTGGGAATCTGGGAAGTAAGAGAAGACAGTCTGGGGTTGGGGAACGAGCACATTAATGGGATTAGCTGTCAAAATGATCAGAAATAAAATGAGGAACTTTGACATTTTACATTGCATGCACTAATTCCCATATGCTAGGGTGGTTTGTAATATGTCATTTCTTGTTTTTCTCTTGGGAAATTGAAGGGCATGTGAATAAATTTTCTTTCTTAAAGCAGGAGGAACTAGATCTAAGACACAGATTAGAATATAGGAATTTCTGTTTTAACACTGTTATCTCTGGGCTGTCTATATTTTACCATTTTGTGTCACACCTCAGTAACAGAGATACATGTATGATGACTTGACCGTGACTTGCATTCTTCTGCTTCTTATTTTAAAAATTTATTGTGCTACTTATGTTTGAGAGTAAGTTCTTGATCAGAAATAGTAAATAACCATGCAGTGTAAGCAATGTGTCCATGCTCATTGTTCAAGTTCTCTTGTTTATAAAAATGGTGGAAAACATATGGCAGAAATTAGTGAGTGTATTTCGCTTGCGTTTGAGGGTTTTTGACATCCTTAGATACCCTGGTAACTGTGATTTGTAAGTAACCCATTACCTGGACAACTTGCCACTCTTCTACAGGAAAAGATAAACACACATTTTTATACACATACACACATGCTTACAACTTGTGTGTATGTGTATACTTGTGTATGTTTGTGTATATGTTCATACATACATATATAAATATTCTGCTTAATAACGTAAAAGCTTATTCTTAAAATCCTGTAACTGGTAAAACACTGCTTCATACAGCAAGGCCCAATTACTTTGGGGTAATACGGTGATCTTAGGCTGGATTTAGGTCTCACTTGGTTCTGAGTCTTGTACTAATTTTGTCATTAGAGGCACTATGGATACTAATCAACTGACTGGTCCAGATGTTACCAGTCATTTTAATGCTGTACAGGTACAAGTCTGTCTTGTATGGTTCCTCCTGCCCTGTCACAATCAAATGTAAATACAGCTACAAATACTGGTTAAGTATCAGTATGATTTTGGAGGATAGATGGGCTTTCAAAGCCTGATCTTTAGTTAGTAATTCTAAAAACTTCTAGTGAATTATAGTAAAAAGTGGCCTGTCCCATTGTCAATAAACCTGTGTAGTGACTCTGCGTGGTTGATTTGGGGGAAATAATCAGAATAAAATCCTTTAGTATCTCTGCACTCTTTAAAATTGCTTCTAGCTCTTAAATGTAGGCATGATTTTTTGTTGTTTTTTAGGATAAAAAGTGATTACAGTGCATGCTGATCTGAGTTAGCAGTTTCATAAACAGGTAGACGACTTCGGTGTTTTTCAAAAAGTGCCCTATGTTGGTAGGCTCGATGTAATCTGGTGATTGCAATCGGTGATACAATTTGAGTGCATCACCGAAGCAGAGTTTGGAGCTGTAGCACCCTTTGCATGAGCTAGGTCAGCCTAATGCTCTGCAGCTCTGCTGCTGATCAGGCTCTTGTCGTCATGCTGAGTGGTTAAACCAAACCTTTGGATGCTCTCTTCAACATGTACGTGTGGCTTAGGGTAAAACATGGCACATAGATCATGTGCTGCATGATTCACAGTCCCTAGCTAATGTTAATTTTAACTTCTTATCCACTCTGTCAATGGCACAATAAAAAAAATCTGAGATCTGTTTTCAACTTGCCGTTCTTGAATTGCCGCGAAGCCAGCGTGTTGGTGTACACACCCAGCTGCTGCCAAAGTGCTGCTTGGCTGTAGTAATTTCGTGCTGGCTGCAGTGCCGGGGTGTGGCAGTGCACGAGGCTCTCAGGGTCAATTTCTATTGCACCAGCACTGAAGTGAAGTCTATTGTTAAGAGCCTGAATTAACATTGGTGAGGACAGGCTTTCAGAATGTGTGTGGTAAGAAGTAGCCCAAATTAAATGTCACATTCTTTCCTCCACAGGTATTCAAACCATTGATTCTACCCAGGCATTGTTCCTGCCGATCGGAGCATCTGTGTCTCTCCTAGTTATGTTCTTCTTCTTCGACTCAGTTCAAGTTGTCTTTACAATATGCACAGCAGGTGACTAAGTTTTCTTCTCTTTGTAATAATTTGAATAGAACAGAAAGCACTGATGTGATTAATTGTTGGTGATAATTATAATGCGTGTCATAGTACGTATTAAGCAAATGAATTAGGTTTCATGATCGTTTTTTCATATCTCTTTAGCTATGAATAGAGTGACAAATACTATTTGAGAAGTATTTTCCACTTAAAAATTTGCTAAATATAATGAACTATAAATTGCAGGAGTTTTGAAAGATGCTGGATGTGTTATTTTAAGTAAATAGTTCACTTGTTATAAGTCAGTACTCAAACCTGTTCATGCTATTTCATAACGCAGGTACTTTGTAGGATCATAGCATAATTCAGGTTGGAAGGAAGCTCTGGAGATCATATCCAGACATCTTTTCCTAGTTTAATTTTGGATTTTGCAGTTATACATATTTTCTTAGTTTCAAGGATACTTCATGTCTCCCTATCATTTTCAGTATTATTCTCTTGCACTGCTTGAATTTAGAACAAAAATGAGATGATTGTCTGCAAATAAATTGCAAGTCCTCTGATTCAGTTTATTATTATTTACATTTTGTCATTTAAGTAAATATCACAACTTTGATTTTTGGAACATTTTAGCCTTTTGATCTTTCTGCGGTTTTTCAAGAGACCAGTGCTGTTCAGGGAAACAAGATTCTTTTTAACTGCTCCAAATGTGTAGGAGCTTTTAAAAGTTGTCCTCAGTCCACACTCTGAATCTGTGAAGACTTTTAAACCCTTAAATACTTTTCTTCTCCTATCTCATGTATACACATTGCATGCTTTTCCCTCGTTATTTAACTCCTGAATTCTACGTCCTCTCCAGCCTCTGAAACAGGGCTGATGGCGAGGGGTGAAATCTAAATCTCTCCTCTGGAAATGAATCTTGAGACTCCAGCTCTAATTGTAGTGGCACGCTCCTGCTGGTACTGCTCTTACTGCTTTGGCCTCTGTCACATGCATTCTTCCCTACTGAAAGTAGATCATTACTTCAAATAAATTCTAATATACACTAGATACTGGTGATAAGGGAAACTTTATGATGAGAAAAAAAATTTTAATGTCAAGCTTATTGCTGCCTGTATTTCCAGAATGACCCTGACATTTGTAACTTTCTTTGTGACGCTGGTGGCATGTGGTGCGACTGCGTTGTGTCAGCTGGGGCATGCTCCAGGTTTAAGAGGATTGTGCCTACTTGCACTAGTGCCCTGGGGTATCTTTATTCTTCAGGCTGTGTTTATGATACTGTTTCTCTGGTCTTGCATATGAGGGTGTCATTAAGCACGGGGGACCTTGGCCCCAGGAGCTCTGAACTTTGTGACTTTGGAGGTTACAGAGCTGGGCTGGGGACCTGGGGCAGGGGGCTTGGCCCCTCTGAAGCTGCAGTGGTTCTATTTGGCATCCTCCTTTTTGTAGATTTTAGAAGCTGATGTGGGTGTGTGCTTTTGAATTATAGCTGGTGTCTGGTTTCTTAAACCACTCGTAAATCTGCCTGCCTCAAAGGTTTGCCTTTGGGGAACAGTGGAGAGCAAGGAAGGACCTGCAGGCAGGCTGAGGTGCGAGGAGCAGGCAGAGCTGGAGAGCTGGTGGCTGCCTGCAGACGGGAATTAATCCAAAGGATTCCCAATTGAATGATGGGTGCTGAAGCTGAAGGAAAACAGAAACACCCAGCTGGAAGCCTGAACAGTAAGGAGGGAGATCGGGTACTCCTGGACAAATGTGTCCTGGTGTAATTACATCTGAATTCGTGTCCACTTCGGGAGAGCCCAGCTACGGGCAGCGGTGGCTGTGGATGCTGGGACAGGAGGTGCAGGGTGCCCTGATGAGCAGAGCCTGGGGGGAGAAGGGGGAAAAGACAGATTTCAAGGCCAAAGAGGGTCAGTTCAGCTGTAATGGAGGCTGAGCGGGGAGCAGGGCAGGCAGGCAATGGGGATGTGGGATGCGGGGCAGCAGGAGCACAGGTTTTACTCTTGGCCAAGCATTTCTGAGAAGGGTCCTAGGCAAACCCATGCAGAGTTCTACACTCTTCATTCTTTCTCTGCCCGTTCTGCTTTTTTTTTTTTATATTTCCTTTCTGAAATACTGATAGAACTTTGAGTTTCCATGGTGCTGTTTGCTGACACCTTTTTTTGGTGTGAATTTATTTGTTTATTTTATCTTCCTCATACCAGAAGGGACAGAACCGAGAGGTGGAAAGATGTGGTTTGAACAAACCAAATTTTCTCCAGTTGACTCAGGCTGTGTAATAAAGAGACTTCCCATCATCTTAGCTTGAGAAAATAAAAAAAATAATAATTCCTTCTAAAAAGCAAAAACTAACACAAGTTTTTAAGGAACGAGTAGAGAACATCATCCAGAAAATGTCAAACGATCCTTCTGTTTTCATGTTGGTCTGTTCTTGCTACAGCAATTCTGGATGCTGTGTGAGTGCTGCTGACAAGTCTGTTTCTCCAAGTCCTCAGTCTTTTAAACAGCCCTTAATACAAGTTCACTGCTATTATTAAAAAAAAAAAAAAAAAAAAAAGGAAAGAATGATTATAAATACCAGCACTTACTAAACGCTTTTACAGATGTTTGGGTGGAATAAATATGCTTCTTGGAAAAAAAAAAAAAAGTATTTATGGAAATAGCCCTTTTGCTTATTTGTGTGATTTTATCATTTTCCCTGTTTTCAAAAACTTTAGAATTGGTAAAATATGCAGTGCTTTAAGTTGTAATATATTTCAGTAGTCAATAAACAGTTATGAGTAAGAAGGGAGAAAAAAGTGATTGAGTTGAAAAGCCAGAGAACCCCTTTATTATGCTGCCTTAATCTGTCATATGTTAAATAATTTTAGAAGAATCTCACAGCCAGTTTGTAGCAAGTTCTGATGTTTTTGTTGACTCCTAGAATGTTTGGAAACTGTTTTTCTTGCAGACATGATCATGAACAGCTTTGAGACTGACTTTTTTTTTTCTTTTTTTTTTTTCTTTTTAGACTTGGAGATAGGAGCATGTAATTCCTTTGAGAGCCTTTATTTTGATTGCAGTTTGAAAGCAATAGAAGTTCTGCAGAAAACCTTGGAGTCTTTAACTGCTCTTGCTTCAATAATACTGCAGCATATGATAATAGGACATTGTTCCAAGAGCTTTTTCAAATTGGTGAAGCTTGTTTGTGTACTGTAGAAATCAGGTCTGAATGTACTAATATTACCTTTTCTTCCTTTTCTAGTCCTTGCAACAATAGCTTTTGCTTTCCTTCTGCTCCCGATGTGCCAGTACTTAACACGGCCTTGTTCGCCTCAAAACAAGTAAGGACTTGAGAAATGTTTTGTTCCTCTTCTCGTATGCTGTATTCATTTCTTTTAATGAGAATTCTTTAACAGAGTCTTTGGTTATGAGCATTAACCTCGGGGCTGAAGTTCATGCATATTTTTTGTGTGTGTGAACGCTGTGTTTCCACTTTGAAACTAGGAAGCACAATTTCTGCAAGTCACGCATGTTTGCCAGCCTGGGGAATACAATACAATTGCAGGAGACTAGATTTCCCAACAGCATTTAAGAAGTTTGGGTTATTTTGGCTGAGAATTCAGTTTCAGAATTAGTAGTGGGTTTTAATGTTTGTTAACATTAAACTCTGGATGATAATGCTGTTTTTTCAGGGATTGTAGTTATGCTAGTGAAAATGACGATTGTTCGAGCCATGTTTTGAAACTAATTCTTTCCTTACCTTGTGACTGGAGTTCATGCTCCAAAAAGCACTGTCATAGATGGTACTAGGAAATAGCATTCATACTAACGATTTTAAGAGAGGTGCCAGGATTTACAGGTTTTTGTTATTTTTTTTCCATCTTCGTAGTTCAGGCTTTACACATGTGATTTGAACGTGAGGAAAGCTTGTATTTTGTTGCTGTTTTGGTACCTACTTGTGGCAAAGGAGCTTCCCCTCAGTTGTTCTTGGCGTCTTTCATCAGCAGTTGAGCTCTGTTCCGGTAGCATCCATTTTCTGTTCTTTAAATGGAAACATTGCAGCTTATGTTTACATGTTGTTCCTAGGATTTCCTTTGGCTGCTGCGGGCGTTTCACTGCTGCTGAGTTGCTCTCATTTTCTTTGTCTGTGATGCTTGTACTTATCTGGGTCCTCACTGGCCACTGGCTCCTTATGGACGGTGAGTATGTGAATCAAGGGATTTGACTACAAGTTTGTGCCTGTTCTGACACATCCAGTCACCTGGTGATGATCGGTGAAATTTGCTGTTATTAATGCCTTGCTGGATTGTAATGTTTGTGGTAGACTCCCTGAGAACAAGCCCTGTCAGAAACATGCCGGGGTAATGTTCGGGACACCTGTTTTTCTGGTTTGGAAAAGCTTCCGAGGAATTGCCAGAACATCCATGAGAGATGATCTGCACTCGTGTGGTGTAGGGTGAATTGCCAGTTTTAGTTAAAGATGTGTGGAGACAGCAGTTACTTATGAATCATAACTTGGTCTCAACAATCTGGTTAATTTTTGCTGTGTGTCATGGTGGGTTTGGTTCAGATGATCAAATAATTTGTTGTGAGACAGTTCACAGTAGCTAGCTGTCTTTGATCTCTTTGATGCATACCAGTTAGGGTGGTGAGATGGGTGAAGCTGGCAGGCGTCCAGTTGGCTTGAAGGGGTGATTTATTTATTTTTTTTCCTTCTGGTTGAACTGAATTTACAGCTTGCTGTTCCTACAAAGAGCTTTCCTCCTTCCCTCCTGCCTTACAAATCTCTTGGGCTAGCTCTGGCATTCGTTTAATCACAGGGCAAACTGATTCAGCTCACTAGAATGGCAGTGCAGTCTTTTGCCAGGCTATTTTTCTGCTGCTTGCAGTGAGGTGAATTGGATTGTTGTGCAGTCAGGAATGTGCTAAATTTGGCAAAAGGTAAGTGGTGAGAGGACGGAGTGGATATGATAGCAAAGGGATGAAGGGGTAGCCAGGAGCAGGACCTCCGCTCCTCAGCAGTGTCAGGCAGCTAAATTGGCTGAAGACATGTCGTGAAGTGGCACCCTGAGGTGGTGATTGCGTGAGGAAAAATAGCTGGAACAGCATTACCTACCCTTGAATTTGCTTCTTGTGATAAAAAAGCCTACGTCCCATCAGCTTTCTAGCTCCTCCTAAATGAGACAGCAGCAGCAAGTCCTTAGCACTGGAAGCTGCCATGGCACCTTGAGTGTTTCTCTTGTATATGGGGATTATGTTTCATTCATGTTTTTTGCTGCTGCAAAAGCTCCACCTATTATATACTAGGGCGTACCTTATAAAATACTCAAATAAAAATACTCAAATAAAGAAAAAAAGAATAAAAATGTGGGTGGTGTTTGGTTTGTTCAAAGCAGACTGGCCCACCATGAAATCAAGGGTGCTTGTCACTCTGCAGTAGCTACGCAGGTAAATGTAACTTCAAGCGTGGATTTTGACACAATCTGAAAAGACTTGTCTACCCTGAGAAGCTGACAGAAGCATTTACTTAAAATGGTTATTTTTGTGAGCACTTCACTCTGAAATAGCGGGCTGTGAGATAATTGCAGAGTACTGAACTGGCACAGAGTGGCTTCTGGGGTTTATTTCCCTGTGGTTGTTTATGATTTACGTGTAGCTTTGGAGTATTTTATGTATTTTATATTAAGTGAGATTGTACAATATAGGTAAGCCTCCTTTAGTTTGTTTAAATGCAATTACACCGACATCTGTCAGTGACATTGAGCAGAGAACAGCATTTATTGGCGTTCATCAGAGGACCGAGCCGGTTTACTCCTCGTGCTGTACTGCTGCAAGCGGGATCACGTCATCTCTGCCTATACCCTTCTCCTCTCTGTAGCTGCATACTTGAGACCCCAATTCACCTTGTTTGGAGCGAAGCGTGGGCAGGAGGTGGTGCTGGGTAGCACAGGCAGGCGGAGAGCTCGCTAGCCTTTGAGGCTGTGTCTGCTCACGGCGCTGCGATCCAGCTCCTCCCCTGCGCGTTGATCTTTGGGTTCGCTGTCAGCAGAAACGAAGCAGATGTTGTGAATGTGCCTCGCATCGCCCGGGCTGCTGGCTGGAGGGAGAAGTGGGGCAGGGCTCGTTGTGCGGTTGGCTCTTTAGGAGAGAGTATCTCTACTTCAGGGCTAAGTACAAAGGAAGAGAAATACTTACTGGCCTTTTCAATTTCCTGCAGAATCGAGGTAGAGTGCTTCCTGCCAGAACAGCCTTCATTGTGCAAATACCACAGTTCCCTCATCTCTCCAGCAGCTGGTCAAACTGTTTCTAAAATCTAGGGATGTTATCAGATAGAATGAGGAGACGTTGTCTCCAGCAGGTTGCTGTGGCCTGTGATGATGTACCTTCATGGGTCTTGAAATGCTGGTTCTCAGGGGGGACGGGTTGATGACAGAATCATCTAGAGTCATTGCTGTCAGCTGGGAAAACTCGCTTAGAAGCTTTCCTAAATAGTAGGAATACCCAGAGATGAAAAATGGGAAAGCAGTAGATTTATGCATATCCACCCATAGCTATGGGGCGAACTGAAGAGGCTGGGATGCCCTGCGAACTGCTACAGGCATTAACGGCTGCAGCAGCTGGGCAGAAGCTGCTTCATGATGCGTGCTTGTATTTCTGCTTTTTAAAATACACGTTGAGGGTTTTGTAGATACGCAATTAGATCAGAACTTCACCACCTATTTGTTTCAAAGGTCAACTGGTGGCTTGTGGGGAAAGCTTAACCCCTGCCAGTTTGCATAATGCTTTGTAAGCGAGAAACCACAGCAGCAGAACCTCGGTAGTTTCGTCTGTTCTGGCCGCACTATCGCAATAAGACTGAAAAATACTGTGGCTGAGAGTCTCATCACATACACAAGAGTATTGTTAATCTTCAGAATATCCTTGTTCCATATGAGTGTGCTTGCAAGGACTTAGAAGTCAATCCATTCACTTGATCGAAGGTTAACCGTTTCAGTTAATGCTTTCACATTCAGCTCTGAGGAGCAGTGCAGCAGCACTTCCAGCTGAGCTGCCGTTTGCACGGTGTGCTCCCCTTCTTTCTGCCTCTTTAACTTAGAGTGCATTTCAGTGGAGATCGGCCTTATGTAGTTTGTCAGCACCATGCACAAACTTGGGTATGGTTGACTTGGTTTCTAGTGTGATTTCTGAATTTTTTCATTGGAGAAGGAAGCTGGCTTCATTTTACAGAAGCACATTGGTGGCTTGGCTGCACTTCGGCCTCTATTACTAGCACTTGCTCTTGGGCATTCTGGCTTCCTTTTTGTTTTTTAAACTTACCAATATTTCTTAAAGCAGTTGCAAAACTGCATGATTATTAGTGTGTGCGTTTCACTCTGATGTAAAGGAGTTTTTTCCATTCCCTTTTAAATCCAGTACTTGCTTAGTATGATGGAAGTGTGTTACATATGTGTGCCTGTGTTCGTTTCAGTGACACAGAAATTGAGTGTGTGAACAATAGCTAAAACTCCATGTTGGTTAAAATATTCCCTCTTCTAGTTAATTATAACCTGGAAATCCTCTCTTGAATATAGGCTAACTTGAGCTATTATTAGCATTGGCTTTAGAGAAATCTCTTTGATTTAAGACAGACTGTTCCCTTGTATTTGCTCTTCTGCCAGACGAAGCCTGTAACTGAAGGCTCTATTGAATTACTGAGAGCAGTTCTTTTTCTTGCTGCTTTACTGTGTCAAATTCTTTAAACCTCAGTAATTTGCTTATGTTTTATATCGAGTTGCAATTGTGCAGCGTGATTTAGGGTACATTTTTATCTGAATAATCCTATTACTTCATTAAAACTAGCAGCCGTGCCACTTGGAGTTACGTTAAGCTTGTCAATTCTCAAAAGGTAAGGTGGGTTTGGCCAAGTCCTGGCCAGGATGCAACCCCTGGGCATTGCAGGCGGCCACCTTGGCAATTGCTTTGTGTCAGCTTTTTCTCTCAAATCTGCACTGAAATGTTTCCGTAGTGTTTTGATGGAAGAACTCCACATCTTACAGATGAAATGCAAGCGTAAAACATTTTTACAGTTCCATAATTATAGCGTTACAGTGTTAACTCGTGAGCTTGGCGGCTCAAGCTGTCAGGCTGGTGGGCTTGTACTTAATGACTCTATTTTCCCTAGGGTTTCACTTGGTCAAAATAGGATCTGATTTTTTTTTTTTTTTTATGAATTCTGTGGCATGTTAAATGAGTGCATTTTTTTTAGAAATGTCCGCGTACTTAACTGAAATCTGGTCCCAACAGGGCTCTGTTATTCCTCGTAAACAGCAGAGATGAAAGATTTTGGTTTGGTTTGGTTTTTTCTCTAGGGATTTACTTGTAACCAGCTGAAATGTATTTATAGTCCGCTGAGTGTCTTTGGCATCTAAGGTTAGACTCAAAGAAGCAGGAAATCACAAATATGAGAAAACTGGGATTTTTTTTTTTTAGTGTGACATCTTAGTTTTCTACTCTGACAAAATATATAGGGAATTTGATTAAAACTGCAGAGAAAGGGCTCCCCTCCCTCCCCTATCTGAACATGCAAGATACAGTTAAGGTTTAATTTTGCATTGCACGTGTCTGATCATGGAAGAGAACTGACAACGCTGAGTGTGCAGCAGCACTCAGGTCAGCTTGTCAGTCTGACTGAAAGCTAGGCCTTGGGAGAGAATTTAGAAGACTTGCCTGCATTTTTTTTCGCATTGTTGGGTAGGCTTTCACATTTATTAATTGTTACTGTGAAATCCCTGTGTAGCTAAACAATTGTACCCCATAGTGTTTGGGCAGCCTTGCACAAGCTTGTTCAAGTAGCGGATTGGTTTGAGTGGTTTCTTTGGCCATATCATGTCATACTACCATGCTGATTTCTGAATTAAGAGCCAAGCATTTTATTTACTTATTTTACACGTTTACTGTATAACCTCCTGGCAGTGTAAAAGTAGAGTTCTCTGTTTGGTGTTTGTTGTTCTCAAGTGGCTTTCACAGGGGAGATCGTGTCTGGGATGCTTGTCATGAAAATGTTTCTTTGTAGTGGATGGTAGGAGTGGAGTGCAACGGGTAGTTGTGTCTGAAGAGGTATTTCTCTTTGTATGGGGAGGTGTTCACAGATGGCTACATTCCTGAATGTATTTTGTCTTTTCTTAACTCTGCTAAGAATTTCACTTTCTGGAAGTACTAGAAAATATACTGGAAAATAATCTAGTGAGTGCAGTGTTGCACAGTTGCAAACAGTTTTTTTTTTGGGGGGGGGAGGGAGTGTTGGTTTGGTTTTGTCATGGTTGTGTTTTTTTTTTTTTTTCTCTTTAATGTACTAATTATGTACTTGCATTTGTAGCTCTGGCTATGGGCCTGTGTGTTGCAATGATAGCCTTTGTCCGGCTGCCCAGCCTGAAGGTTTCCTGCTTGCTACTCTCCGGGTTACTAATTTATGATGTCTTTTGGGTAAGTGTTTTGTTTTGTTTTGCTAAAACTGTTCTCATCGTTTGGATTTGTAGTTGGCTTTGGGCCATTTTTACACGAGATGTACTAGTATGAAATTGATGAGCTTCATTGCTCCGTTCCGAGAAGATAAAGTCTGCAGCAGAATACAAAATGATCTCCTCCCTAATTAGTTAACAAAAGCAGGAACATGATCAGAATATTTCAACTTTGGCATATTGTAAGAAAAAGTTAGACCTCAAATTTTGAAACCTTGGCTGCAGATCAGAATAAGTGTTCCCAAGTAAATGGGAAGCCTTATCCACGCTCGTGCAGGACGTGCATGCCAACTTCTGATTAGCAGTGGAATCTGCAAAACAGAAATGCAAACTGATTTACAGCCAGTCAAGTTGGCATAAAATCTTACAGCAGTTTTACAAGAAACCTGACAGAATGATGTCCTTTGTAATACTGAAAGGATTTGGTTTTACCTTTGCATAACAGCGAGCACTGATTCAGGAAGGCACTTGTTGACAGCTCTGGCATTGAGTCAGTTTCCCAGCACGATGAGCTGTAGTGTAAAGGTCTATTTGAAATAAGTGTTGCATCATGCATTTTATGAGTGAGCACTGTACTCTCTTCTCTCTTCCAGCTTTCTCATATTTTCAGTGCCCTATTACCTGCATTTGCTGGTGCTTGTAATCTGTTGATCGGTATCTTGGCATCATACAGTATACTCCAGTTTTTCTTCAGGATTAATAGTGTAAAAAACTTCATCTGATTGTTTTTAAAATACATTTTGTTTTTTATTATCAAACATAGAATGTTTGTGTCTGGAAAAGTAGATCCTTTCTTTTCTTGAATAAATGAAGCAAAAAGAAAAAAAAAAAAAGCAAGCCACTTTGAATTGCTATCCAATTGCAGTTTGTCATTTTTAATGATTTCCTTCTTCTGTAGGTCTTTTTTTCTGCCTACATCTTTAACAGCAATGTTATGGTGAAAGTGGCCACGCAACCAGCTGATAATCCCCTTGACGTTTTATCCCGGAAACTTCACCTGGGACCAAATGTGGGTAGAGATGTTCCCCGCCTGTCGCTGCCTGGTAAACTTGTGTTTCCAAGGTAAAATCAGTAGTTCTTTTACAGTACTATATAAGAAAAGTATTTCCTGACTATACTTTTTATTAGCACTAACTCTCTTGGAAAATACCAGCTCAGTTCCCTGTTTAGTCACTCCTCCTTCATGATGAAGATCTGTAAAATAATGGGTTGTAAGGATTGGACGCTTTGCTTTTGCTGTCTCATAGCATGCAGATATGATGCTAATTGGGGTAAAAGAAGTGGCCCATTCGGACCAGGATATTTTTTTGACATGAATGTGAGTTCTACCATTTAGTGGTCACTGTTGTAGTATGACCTAATGCTTAAAAGCAAAAAGAACTTAAGTTTACTATAATGTTAGTCTTGATTAATGCATACTTGTAGGACGGGAATTAGAAACTGATCTAAGCAACAAAGGTTACTGGGTTAAATGCTGTGTTGGAGGGAGATTATTCCACATCTGTCTACTGTGGGGGTTCCTTGATGTTTCAGATTTTGAGCTAGTTACACATAGGCCTGATACAGCAATAAACTCAAGCACTTCAGAAGTCGTGCAGTAGGCTAAGTTGGCTAATTTACTCTGTTCTTGTTTCTTTAGAAGCTGGGGTTCTAAAATTGCAGGGATTAGGAAATCGTTCTCTGCAATGATAAAAACAAAACAGTTTGGTTCATTCTGTGACAAATTAATTTGATATCATTTCATGAAAAAGATCCTGGGTTTAAGATACTGGCTGGTTTTAGTTCTTAATCTGCTTAGCGGCTGGGAATCTTTTCTGGGAATCTGATAAAGCTGTAGGTTTATGTGCATTTTGTCCGAATTAAGCCGAAGATCATAAATCCATAAACTGACTTACTGTCACGTGTTAGAAGTGATCTACGTACACTAGAGGTGCAGTGTCCATCAGCAATGGTCAAATAGTTTGGTGAAATTGTCGGCAGGTACCTACCTCCCAGTCACGTTTAGGAGAGAGATGACTGAAATACCAAGTTACATCGAGTGACTTAGAAGAAAGAAGTTTAAACACTGCTGGTAGAAATAAACAGGTTTGGAGCAAAGTGTTATTAGTGTCAAAATAGGTAACATTTAAAACTGAGCTGGAATGTGATGATGTCACGTGAGGAAAAATCGTTAGTAGCAGGTATTTATGTAGGAGCTTCTACTACATAAAAGGTGGCCAGTTGGAAGTCCAGCCTGTATAAAGTGAAGCTCAAAAACAAAGTGGAGGAGTCTAGAGCTTGTCACCCTCTGTACTGGGCACAGACCCAATTTCAGTTGCTCTCCAGTTCCACAGGCAGCCACTTCTCCATGCTGGGGATCGGAGATATTGTGATGCCAGGTCTTCTGCTCTGCTTTGTCCTACGTTACGATAACTACAAAAAACAAGCCAACAGTGACTCCTGTGGTGCCCCAGGACCAGGGAACATCTCTGGACGTATGCAGAAGGTCTCTTACTTTCACTGCACACTTATTGGATATTTTGTAGGTGAGTAATTGGTTTAATATGGATAGCTGCTTAGTGAGCAGGAGTGGGATTATTGTAGTAGGTTTAAAAGATGATGAAACAAAGGGTAAAGAGGCTTTGGGAGACTGCTTGGTTATGTTCTTTTTTAATCTTCCTCTCTCCGTTTTCATTGGCATGGTCTAGGGAGAAGAACTCTTCTAGAGTTCTGTTTTAAATTATTTTTGGTGTATTTTATTTAGAGGATGAAAGAGATTATCAGTGTATTTCTGTGAGAACTTTTTATACCTTGCTTTACTAGTACCGAAGGTGTCCTAGCTCACAGCTGGGTTACGCAGAAAAATATGGGAGTTTCTAGATGGGTTGCGCTGTGCAATAGTACATCTTGAGAATTCATTTTACAGATTCCCACCATTTTTGTATTCTAATGTTAATTCTTATGATCCTGTGACATTTTAGCACATGCGGAAAATTGTAAATAGCCACAACTAGAATGCTGTTTATAATGTGATGCAGCCATCCCTTTCCTCACTAACACAAAATAGATTTTCCCTGAAGGTCAGGATATGTGTGTGCATATCCGGAACCTGTGTAGTCCTTTAGAGGATGAAAAGGAAAGATCGTCTCCTGCTTGCCTCCCCCGCCCCGTCGCCCCCTGCCTTTCCCCCATATGTTCCTTTTGGGCACGTATCCAGGAAAAGCATTCCTGGTGTGTACAATCCTTCCTTGCAGCCCCTCGTTTCTCAGGCGAGGGGCCTCTCAGACCAACAGTCTCGAGAGGTACCGGTACTGGAGGAGCACGTAAACCAATTTGGTGTGTGCTTTCAGCTTCCTCCCCTTTGCCTTTTATTATGTTTGTGTTGTGTTATTATTAGCTTAGTTTTTGAGATTCAAAACCAAAGCAAGTGGCTCAACAGAGCCTAATACTAAAATAGAGCAACTTCCCTTTTTGCTCGTTTTGTATCTCTTCAGGGAAAGCTAAGCACAAGCAGGTAATATTTCCATAGACTGTCTTAAAATGGTGGGGAAGGAAACCACCTGTGGATGAAATGATAGAGAACATCCATGAGCTACTAAAGATATTTATAGGCACTTTTTTCTTTTACAGGTCTATTAACTGCAACAGTAGCTTCTCGTATTCACCGGGCAGCCCAGCCTGCCCTCCTGTATTTGGTACCTTTTACTTTATTGCCGCTCCTCACCATGGCCTATTTAAAGGTAAGATAGGATTATATATTCCTGTCAGGAAAGTGGGGATCAGCTGGAAGCGAGTTCAGTGCTCATGCACTGGGCACCGGTTCTCACAAGGATGCTGCATGCCCTTGCTCCTTCTTAACAGCTGCAGCCAAGAACTGAGGTACTGCTGCTGCTGGGGTGGATCCTCATTTTGGAGGACTAAGTAACAGACTTGTTCCTGAACTAGAAAATGATCTATGCATGTAATACTTCTGAACTTGTTTAGTGTACGTTTGCTGGTACTTTAAGTGCTGTTTAAATTAAATAAATGAATTTCTCCTCACCCAGCTGGTTGTGAAAGAAAGCATTTGCGCAAAAGCTGGATAGAGAGAGGAGAGGCAGATCCTTATTTACCTATTTCCAGTCACCTGTTCTGAAGTCAAATTTCAAAATGTAACCTTTACTGTTTCAGGGCTATTGTTGAAACACACGTCTAGCACTCTAGATTGAAGCATAAAACAGGGCAAAATTTTCCGCCCACATAAAATGTTTTTCTGATGGGAAGGAAATACTTAGGTCAATCTGTCACAAAAATAAGGCATTTCGACATGTTGTGGGAAGGATGTATTTTATGGTCTTTATTGTAATCTGCAAAACAGGTGGAGAATAGATTTGCTTTAAGATATGCTTACGTGCATTTTACGTATATACGTGTATTTTTAAATCTGTATTCTAAATGGGCTTTATGGTTTCTGAGTGAATGGTCCTCTGCTGTTTCACTGCTGTTTAGGGCGATCTACGTCGCATGTGGTCTGAGCCTTTCCACTCCAAGTCCAGCAGCTCCCGTTTCCTGGAAGTATGATGGAACAGATAGAAAGTGACCTGAACTTCTGCCTTGGTCCTTTTCACTTTGACTTGTGGCTTTGTCATCGCCGAAAGCTGGACAGGCTGGTACTTGGGAAGGTACCAATTACAGGACTTGTATGAAAGGACTTTGCATTGAAAGGAGGAAAAAGAAAAAAAGCTAAGGTTCTGGAGCTCCATGCGACTCCGTATCTCCCTGCAGATGTGGAACTGGGGACCCTTTGTGCAACTGCAGCCACTTTCCTCTTTTCCTCGCTCTAACGGATTAGTACCAGACTATTACCTATGTGAGAGAGGAAGAGACAGACTAGAAACTGAAAACGGCTTGAAGTCGTTCAAAAACTTGTGAACACTAAAAGAAAAACGGTTAGGCAAACTGAAGCTTCTTCAGCAAACGCTCATATACATTGGGACCAGTTTCCTGTTGGACTTCGGTTTTGAAAAGAACTGAGACAGAAGGTCTTCTGTCACAATATTGTTTTTTTTGTTGTTTTTTTTTTTTTTGATTTATTAAATATTTCCTGTGGTGTGAGGTTACTTATTAAATCCACAGACATTGAGTGACTTCTTGCAGTAAACATATAAAAATTTGTTGTAACAAGTTACGTTTCCACCCAGATGTCATGTTGCAGTGAAAAAGGGCACGATTTTTATACATATATATATACACACATATAGATATATATATGAATAAATAAAAAGGAAAACCTGCTAAGATCATGCTATGTAGCAGACAGGGGCTTGCTGTAATTTTTAGCATGTAGAGCAGTTTACTCTGGCTTTCTTGTATATGAATCTACAATGAGCTGCTGTTTTTTCTCCCCCCTCCTGAAACTGAACCTGCAGTTTAAAAACAAGTGTAGTATTTGTATTGGTTGTACTCACGGACTTTAGGGGATATTTGATTTTGATCAATGTAGCAAACTAGGGAAGAAAAAAGTTGAAACCCACCCCTGTTGGTTTGAGGGGGGAGGGGATGGGAAGGGTGTCTTTTTTTTCTTTTTTTTTTCTGTTTTTTTTTACAAACAGCTCCCTTGCAGGTTTTTAGTAGATCCTTCTTGACCCAGTGCATGTATTATAGCAGCAATTGTCTTTGTGCTTTCTGATCATAGTAATGTATCACTTGTAAATACATTTTTTCTATTTTCTATTTTTTTGTATTTTTTTGCATTTTGTTTCATTAGTGTGCTGTATTTTTTCCATGCCCCTGCCCCTTAAAGAAAAAAAAAAAAAAAAGAAAAAGAAAACTGTCCTTTACTGTTGTGATTGGTCAGAGTTTGTGTGTTGACTGCTTTGTACTTGACAGCCTGTTAAAATGTGTTGTGCTGTTTTCTTAAGCCAGCAGTTCCAGTTAGGTTAATTTATTAACTGAAAGGCCACCCTGAGATAACCAGAACTTTCGTCCATTAAAATATTTTACCAAATTGTGTTTGGCGGGGAGCTCTGCTAAACTTGTACCTCTTGTTAGTCTGATGCTGGTAAGTGCTAGCTGAGCAGAAGGAAAGCAGGATGAAACCTGACTGAGTAGCAAGCTCCCTCGGGGTACCGCTGCTTTGCAAACAGGTAAGGGAGCTTCGCTGGAACATCTGACCCTTTCTGCTCTGTCCGTTCTTACAAGAAGAGTAAATTCAGCCTGGTAGAAGATATCGTCTGGCCATGCTTTGCAATGCAGCTGTCTGGCCTGTTTTTAATTAATGTGCTTCTCTCTCCTCCTCAGGCAGGTCTGTCACAGCTCACGGGCCGTGGGGCTGAAGTGGCCGAGTGGCCTCTGAACCAGCTGTGAGTGCTCTGACACAGGTAGGGCACGAAAAAACGTTGGAAAGCAGCACAGCAGTTTGGGGGGGGGGGGGGCTCTAAGGTTTTCAAGTGAGTGGGTGGCAGGGGGGATGTTGTGTTTTTATTTTTTCCCCCAATTCCTATCTTTAAGTCAGTTGAAAGCATTTCCTCTAGCACATGCCTGCAATGCTCATCATCAGCTCAGTTTTGATGAAGTAAATCTTTTTAAATTAAAAATTTGCATTTACAGTTAATAGCAGGTGTAAGAGCCCAGACTTGCAGTCAGCTTGGGCCAGAAGGAGGGCGTTGGTTTTTCAGCTGCACACCTCAAACTTAAATTGAACAAAATATTGATAAAGGTGTTCAAAAAGAAAAAAAAACAGGGTTTTTTTTTTAGTAGTAGCAAGCAGCGGGATAACATTCCTAGATCCAGTATCCAACTGGTAGCAATGCACATCTCAAGTGCTTGCTGTTTCTTGGGAGCATCTTCCTGCCTTTAGAATTAAAATAAACGGTCTTTCTCTGTTTTTGCGATGGCATTTTCTAGTCCGTTCCAGGAAGCATGCCTATGAATGATTTTCTACACTTGAAAGGCATTCTGGAAAAAGTTCTAGAAGTGTCAAGTGACAAATGCTTAATGAGAATTAATCTAGCTTTCCAGAAGAGTCTTGGCCTTCCTCTTTTAAGCTGTATTGCCCTGTGACACCGTGTAAATCTGACTTGCACCAAGATTGCAAGCCACTTTCTCTTTACAACCAGTTGGGTTGTAAATGCAGCCGTTTGTTTCTGAACCTACAGGTGGCACCTGCTGCTCTGAAATGAGCCCCTGGCTTCCCAGGTGGACACCTGCAGCTGCCAGGTGAGCAAAACTGAACTGACAGATGCTTGCTGCCCCTTCAGCGTGGAACAGCAGCCCACCGCTGGTAGGAAAAGGATTTGGTGCTTTGGAGGGGTTAACTGAGGCATGACTGTTCTAAATGCAAAGCTGTTATATTTGCAGAGGCGCAAAAACATTCTCCTGTTATTTATTGGAGTAAGTTAAAGCTGTAAAACTTTGTCCTACAACTCTCCTGTCAACAACACCTCAGCTTTTGGGGCGGATTAGAACAGGTTCCTACCTCAGCACGCAGCTGCTGGCACCCTGAGCAGACACACGTACCTTCTGGCCTTGTTTCTTCAGCATGGCCAGCTGCACATTTTCTCAGATCAAGGATGAAACTGTACAAAGTGCTGGGTACTTTGGCTTTCTGAGGGCGCTCTAGGGCCTAGATTCCCTGTCCCTGTTGGGTCCTGTTCATGACTTCTTGGTTTTACATTTTGTTACACTCCTTCATTAAATACTTGATACAAATTCGTGCATTGTAATCTCCAGCCATCTGCTCTTTCTTGTGAAAAGTTGTCAGAAGAAATATTTTAGAAAGTATTCGACTAATAAAAGCTTTTATGTAGGAGGTTAAAAGGATACTGGCAATAAGAAGTGATTGACGCGTGTGTGTTTATAGCAAAGTTAGGACAGGGACCAGGATTGTGAAATGCAAAGCTGTTAAAAGTTCTGGAGCTGGTTTTCTGCTGTGCGTTTAGGAACAGTCAGCTTAGAAATGTCACTGTTCGTCTCTTGAAGTTCCCCCTAAGGTCACACCCTTAGTCTAGAAAAAGATTCTGAGTTCAGAAAAGACCTGGGACTGTTTTGCCAGCCAGTGCAGATGAAGTATTTTACAGCACTTAAATACTTTTACAATACAGGCTGCTAATTCTGTCTGTGTTGGCCCAGCAGGAACAACCTGTGAAGCCTCGAATCCGTGCCCGGACCTCTGCAATATTGCACGGCGCTGCCTGCGCAGGCTGAAGAGCACATCAGGGTGCCAGCGCTGTGGTTTCCATCGCCTCACACAGAAGCTGTTTGTGGAGATGAATGTTTCCTGTCTTGAGCGTGGAGGTACGGTGTGTTCTCAGAGAGAAGGGGAAGGAGTCACTGAAGCAATGAGGAAACACAAACTGACTGTTGGGTGGCTTCCCCAGCTTAGGGTTGACCCCCGTTGGAGGGGGAAGTGCATGCACAGCTCCCAGGTATTCTTCTTTTTGTACAAGTAGTGAACTTGTAGAATTTGATATTAATGTTTAGCTAAACAGCAGTAAGCTGCATTTTCATTCAAGTTGTAACAGTGCCAGATTTTCTTATCTTGGTTCCATTTATTCTTGTTATTCTTACAAGTATTTTGCCTTTTAACTTCAGCCTGTCTTTCACATTTGTTATTTTTTAAGCCATCCGTGATCACTAACAAAACCAGAATGTGTGACTATGTTGTCTGTGCTATTTTATGAAGGCTCTCCAGTTAGGCAGAACAAAATTTAATTTAAAAGCAAAATCATTTGTCCTATTTTTCTTAACAGTAAAGCTGTCAGAAAAGACCAGTAGAGGAGAAAGTGTTCTGGTGTGAAAGCAATACTGTGCTAACTTCAGCTGAGCCCCAGCAAAACCTTTCATACACTGCTTAAACACGGAAGACTGAGGGCATTGCTTGGGTTTGTGTCTAAGAGGTGTGAAGCTGACAGAGGTGAGCCCCATCGCTGTGCTGGTAGGAATGGAGAAGTCAGAGAGGGCTCCAGGCTCCGGCAGCTCCTCGGTGCCACACCGAGCAGCAAGGCTGGGCCAGGAAGGATGTGGCTAACGCCTGCACTCCCCAGGAAGAGATCTGTGCTTCTCCCCTGTGTGTGCTCAGCTGTGACAGCCCAGAACAGCTCGTCTTCTCCTTTAGTCTGCTGAGAACTCATGAAGGGATTGTGAGCCACATATATATGGTATGAAGTGTGTCAGTTCTAACTGGTGGGTGAGGGGAAAGCAGCTCCCCAGTCCTGGAACTGTGTTTCTTCTGCTGAAGGATTTCTTAGGGCTCCACAGGAACTGCTGGAGCAGGAAATGCCAAATAGACCTGCTGCCATCGTGTGATCAGTCCTCCTGCCCTGGAAACTGGTCTTGAACGGGTGAGTTTTTCGTCTCCAGATGGAAACACTTCCAAGGTTTCGTCTGCTTCATTCCCTGCAGTCTGTTGTAATCAATCTACTGTACGTTTAGACCATTTGGGGGGCAAAAGTGTCCTTGAAAAGTGTAGCTGTGCCTTGCTATCCCACTCTAACTTTCATGTGACCTGATTTTCACATCTTGGTGCCTTAACTTTGCAACTTTAGCTCAGTTTGTAAACTGACAAAAACATTCAGCTTCAACCTGAAATAGAGCCTTTCCTGAAAGGAAGCCTGGCCCTGCCCACCCTTACCAGGGGAGTGCTCTGTCTGGGGGTGGCTCTTTGTAAGAGCTCTCTATTTAATGCTGCAAAACTTGTTTGTGTTTTGCTCTCTCAGCAGTTCTCTTCTGTAACAGCCCCGAGGAACAGACGTTCATGTGTTAAAGCCAAAATTACCTGACAGCAGCAGAGAGGAGTCGGATCTCAGCATCCTGCTCAGGAAAAAGCCAGCTCTTTGCTCTGGGAGCTCTGTGGAGGTCTTTGTGTGTGACTGTGCTGTTTAACCTAAAACATTGCTGAGAACAGTGCTCTGAGACAGGTTACAGATCCCTGTCTGAATCTGGCAGCAAGGAAGGTATTGGAAAAGCTTTTGTTTGAAAGACTTTGCACCCTTGCAGCATGGTGGTTTTTTTTTTTTTTTTTTTTTTTGTTTGTGTTAGTAATAGCAGAAGGGAACTCTGTAAGAAGCTCTGAGCACATTCCTAGGCTCATGAAGCTGATTGTCATGCTGTACCTAGACCAGTGATTTTTGACCAGCTGCACCCTTGCTGTAATTCAATGCTGTGCAATGTAATTTGATTACAGACTATGGCAGAGGTGCAGCACTCAGCAAATTGGCATCAACTCTGCAGCTGGTAGCCTCAGTTAATATGTTGGCTAGGTCAGCTGTCGCGCTGATGTCAGAGCCAGCAGGCAGCTTGTTAACAGGCACGCAGCACACTCTCAACAAGTTCCCAAAGGTGGGCTGTGGGCACAGGTGCAGCAGCAGGGCTCCCCGGGAGCAGGCAATTACTTGATGCTGCCCCTGCCTTCTCTGCAGAAGGGCCACATGGGATGTTGGTGTATCAGTTTGTAGTTTTTAGCAGGGTGCTGTTGGCCGAGATGCTCACAGCTGGACTCCTGCTTCAGTCGGACACTGTGAGCATGTGGGGCAGCTCCACTCTGCTCCAAAGAGAAGCAGCAGTCATTTAATGGGGGTAAGTGAGGGGGCGTGAGGGGGAAGAGGCACAGGCTGAAAGCAATGAAGGTGTGGGAAAGCAGATCTAAGAGAAGCAGTGAGATGAGAGGGAAAACAGCAGCAGGTGTGCCCTAAGAGTGACTGTTCTGGTTCACTGCAGCTGCAGCTGCACCTCAGTGGCTGAGACCAGAGAAGTCCAGCACTGAACAGTCATGGTGCGGTCCCAACATCTTCCCTTTCTTGCAGCAGCCAGGCCTGCAGTACCTGCTGCAGCAGAAGAGAGAAAAAGTCTTGTGTAAATAATCTCACTTGCCCCTCCACGGCCATGCAAACAAGCCTTCCAGTGGTACAGGTAACAAGCAAGCCAGAGGAGTGTCTCATGGCTAGAAGCCTTCCATCATTTACAACACAGCTGAAATCACTGCCTGGCTGTTTCTGGTAATTGTTGGGT